TGCGGGAGCCCGCGCTCGGAAGGCGTGGTGTGACGGGCGCGGCCAGGAGGGCGTGGCCAGGGGGAAAACATCCTCTCGCGGTGTGACCGGAAGTTGAACTCTAGGGCGGCCAGACCACAAGCGGCTAATTTAAAGGCAAGGCGAGCGGCTCACCGCTTGGCCGTGATCCTGAGAAGCTGGGTCTTGGGCGTTCTAGTCTTGGGCTCGTAAATGGGGAGTTGGCGATGGCTGCAGTGTTTGGAAGAGAGCTCACCCTCGAAGGGCTCAGATTTGCTTCCCCAGCTTATCATATGGAAAATTGAGGGAATGTCTTACGAGATGCAGATTTTAAAGGCTGGGCTCTGCTCGAGAGATCTGGATTTACTACACTGAAAAACCAGTCTCCCTCCGTTTTGGCTGAGAAACACGACGCTCCCACCAGCTGCTAGTGAAAATGTTCGCCCCACGTGAGGCGTCGGTGCGGTTGTGGATATTGGCCTGCTCAGGGCAAAAAAGAGTGGGCACTTTGGGCCAATAATAATAAATTAGCTTGTGCTTGAATTGGCCAAGTCATTGCGGTTTTGTTAACTTGGCCTCACTTTGCTTGGAGTAGGAAGAGCCTGTTCCTGAAAAAGCGACTTTTCTAATTTGAACTGACACCTCATAAGGCCATGCAATTATCAGAGAGGACAGAGTAGGCTGGAAGTTTTTTGGTGACAAAATGGATTTGGGTCCTATTCAGACTCGTTCTAGACAAGGCTTTTTTTCCCCTTAAAAAAATCTTTTAATATTTTCTAAGATCTGGGTATATTGACAAAAGAGGTCTTCCTTCATAGTCAGACATATAAATGCCTGCTGCCTAATAGAATGTAAACTTTTGTATCTCTTTTGCTTAGAAAAGAAAGACAAAATTGCAAAGTGGTACTTCATTCACTCATTTAACACGTTTCTTTAATTAAGTGTGATGTAAAATAAAATGGTTACTTTCCAAATTTTAAAATTATTTTTCAATATGTAAGTGTAATAGTCTTAAACGTCAAACAGCTTATATAGAACAAAACAGTTTTTCTCTTCTATCCCTCCACACTTTTTTAAACCTCGATTAAAAAGAATTTTTAAAATTAAATGTATTGGAATAACATTAGCTAATGACATCATGTAATTTTTCTCCACACTTTTGACTTGTTTTTTTAAGAAGCAGTCCCAATCAACTCCTATAAATTTTTTAGCTCCTTATCCCTGTATTTCTGAGTACATGATTATACTCTGATTTCTTCATTTAAAAGCTGTAGATATTATTTATTGATTTATTCCCATGGAAGATAAGGATTTAGTTCTTTTCTCTCACACCATTCTTCTTCCTCTTGCTCCAACCTCCTGATTATTTCAAAATTTTTAATTAAATGAAGTACTCAAAGTTTAAAGCATTAGCGTTATGTGAATATTGTTTACCAGTAAGTGAGGTATTTTACTGGGACTGTGATTATATTCCTTTTCTTGTTAACTTTTTGTTTTTCCTGGAATTAACAATTGCTTCGTCATTTTGTTTGTGTGCTTAATTGTTCATCTACCACCAGCTCAGTCAGAGACCAGGGTTGTCACACATATCAAGTTACCTCTCAGATCCATTTTAATCTTGGGTACATCCCTCCTGGAACACTCACCTCTTGCTCTGATCTGGACTTGTTGCACAGCTGCACAGCTGTCAGACAGGGATTTCTCAATTGCTTTATTAACTATTATTTTTTAAAAATCTTCACCTGAGGATATTTTTTCCATTGTTTTCAGAGAGAGTGGAAGGGAGGGAGAGGGAGAGAGAGAGAAACATTGATGTGAGAGAGAAACATCAATTGATTGCCTCACGCACGCACCCAACCCAGGATGGAACCAGAAACCTTGGTATGTGCCCTGACTGGGATGGAACCTGAAACTCTTTGGTGCATGGGATGGACAATGCTTTAACCATCGAGTAACACCAACCAGGGCTCCTGTCTTCTTTCTTTAATTTGGTTGAACATATTCTTAGTTTCCTGAGGAAAAAGTGCATAGGAAACACATTTTTGCAGATCACGTATGTCTGAAAAAAGATTTTTATTGTATCTTTACATTTTATAGTTTGGCTGGATATAAAATTCAACATTGCAAATACTGTTTCATCATTTTGAAGTCATTGATCAATTGTCTTCTGGCTTTCAGGTGATTCTAGAGTGGTTGGATATGATTAGACTCTAGAACCCTTGTATGTAACCTGTTCTTCTCTTTGAAGTTTATTTGATCTTCTCTTTCTTCTTGATACCCTGACGTTTCAGTATTTGCTGTGTATCTTTGGGTGGGTCTTGCTTTATTTGTTGGGCTGAGTACTTGGTGATAATCACATTCAGTGGAGAAACTTAGCTCCTTCAGGTCTGGGAAATTTTCTTTTTTCATTTTTTTAATAATTCTTATCTTTAATTTTATTTATATTTTTGTTCTACTTTCTAAGAGATTTCCTCAACTTTATCTTTCAGTTCTTCTTAATGCATTGTTTATTGATACTATATTACATTTAATTTCTAAGGGTTCTTTCTAGTTCTTTTTTATTGTTTCGTGGCATTCTGACCTTTCACGTCTTAGAATATTGATCATAATTTTTAATGTATCCATTATATTTTTTGAAGGATATTTGAACCATATACTATAAAAATATACTTAGTCAGTATAGAGTTGTTGATAGTGCCAGAGAGTGAGTTATGGGGGGTAAAAGTGTAAAACATTGGTTTTACTCTTTGGGAGAGCAAAATCTGTTTTAGGAAATAAGACATATTCACATTTAATGATTATTGAGACTGTAAGTTAGTTAATAATACTAAATGAGTGGTACAAGCAATAGCTGTTATAAAAATTCAGGTGAGGAAAAATCTTTTAAAGTGAGATAATTAAGGAGGAATTGAGTTACCCTCTCCTAATTAAAATCACAGGCTGATTATTTTCCTCAGGCTTAAGAAATCAAAAATAAAATAAAATAAAATAAAAATCTCTAAATCTCAAAATAATTATTCTTTTAAAATTATCTGTTTTTCTTAGTTGGGTCATAACTTTTCTTGGTGCCATCTTTGACTTTTACCCTAATTTATTTGCTGAATATTATCTCTTCTATCAAGTCTTGCTCATATTACATACCACTTTTGTACTTCACTTGTCTGTAGCCACCCTCTAGCTCAGTGCTAATTAACTTACTGATAGAGTGTAGCAGCATTCTAATTATTCCCCAGACTATGTTTTTCTTTCTCAGTTTATCCCTCATAAACCTGTAAGAACTATAATTCAAATATCTTGCTTTTATTTTGTTGATGGTTCAACTAAAAATAATTTGATGATGATGCTTGGCCAGTGTGGCTCAGGGGCTGAACATAGACCCATGCACCAGTAGGACCCTGGTTTGAGTCCAGGTCAGGGCACATGCCCAGGTTTCTGGCTCGATCCCCCGTAGAGGGTGTGCAAGAGGTGCCAATCAATGTTCTCTCTCATTGATGTTTCTATTTCTCTCTCCCTTCCTCCCTCTCTTTCTAAAAAAAAAAAAAAAAATCAATACTAAAAATAATTTGATGGTTGCTTATTGTTAGCTGAATTAAAAGTTGGCTCTGAGCAGAAGATACTGGGCATATATATCTTTATGCCTCATAGCTTTCTACTCAGGATACGGTGAAAAAAATTTAAGTTAAAATCAAGGGTTTCCGTGTAACTCAAATTGCTCTGGCCCTAGCCCTCAACTGCTTATGCAGAAACTCCAGCCTCCTGCAAAGTGCATTCCCTATTTAATTATATCTGAGAGCCCCCATGAGGAGCCCCACACCTGTTCAGAAACAAATCCAATTCTATGATACTCTACCAGGTGCTGCTTCTACTCCATGCTGCTTTACCAGATGCTAGTCTGTGCTGGTGGTGTTGAAGATACATGATAGAGGATGGAGGGAAATGACCTTCTTTTTCCTCTTATTATAGCTCTAATGTGCTACAGTATTTATGAAACGGTTCTCTCAATTTTACTTATGTAGTCCTTCTTAAAAGTGGGACCTAAGTATGGGTCCAGATAGGCTGCACCAGGAATGAATTCAAGGAATATATTTCATTACCTTCAACTCAGAATTCCTACTCCCCTTGTCTAGCACCAAGTAGTTAAGGGTTTGTTATTGGATAAAGTATATCATGCTTTAGGACTTGTTTCCTTAGAACTTCTCTCTTCAAACATACTTCTGCCTTGCCAACCCACCAGTTTGCCAGACATCTCTCAACTCTGGTACAGTTGTTCTCAAAGTGTAGTTTTTGGATTAGCAGTATCAACATCACCTGAGAACTTGTTAAAAATGAAAATTCTCTAGTCCCACCCCTATTCTACAGAATCAGAAACTCTTGGTGTAGAGCCCAGCATCACAGA